GGATTCAACGGGGTAGCTCTATCACTGTCGACCGACGAGTTCTGGTTAGTTTTTCTATCGGGCCTAAGTATCGAGATTCAGTTTGGTGTGATGTTGTTCCCATGGACGCTTGCCATCTGCTGTTGGGTCGTCCATGGCAGTTTGATCGGTAGGTGGCTCATGATGGTCGACTCAATACGTATAGCTTTATGTTTGAAGGTGTTCGACTCATCCTTCATCCGTCTCCTCCTCGCCCCACTATTTCTACCGCCCCATCGCCGGTCCTTTTTCTTTCGCGGGCTGCATTTCTCGGCGAGCTGAGTGGCTCGCCGGTGGTGTTACTTCTTTTGGGATCCCACGCTGTATCTGACCAGGACATTCCCCCGATTATTCGTCCATTAATTGAAGAGTTCGCCGTTGTCTTTCCGGACGAGCTACCAGCCGGCCTTCCCCCGTTGCAAGACATTCAACACCACATCGATCTGGTGCCAGGAGCTTCGTTGCCCAACCGACCACATTATCGAATGAGCCCATCTGAACACGAGGAATTACGTCGACAGGTGGAATCTCTTTTACAGCGAAGAGTCGTTCAATGTAGTCTCAGCCCATGTGCCGTTCCAGCATTACTCATCCCCAAGAAAGACAGCTCGTGGCGAATGTGTGATAGCAGGGCCATTAATAAGATTACCGTGCGTTACCGGTTCCCGATTCCACGTCTTGATGACCTACTGGACCAGCTGCATGGCGCGTCTGTCTTCACGAAACTCGATCTCCGCAGTGGTTACCATCAGATCCGCATCAGGCCGGGAGATGAGTGGAAGACTGCTTTCAAAATTCGTGAGGGTTTATTTGAATGGTTGGTTATGCCGTTTGGACTCTCTAACGCACCGAGCACTTTCATGCGTGTGATGAACCAAGCGTTGCGTGACCTTATTGGCCGTTGTGTTGTCATTTATTTCGACGACATACTCATTTATAGCCGCACACTGGAGGAACATTTAGAGCATGTCCGGTCGGTATTTCTCATTCTACGGGCTGAGTCCTTCTATGCAGCATCGAAGAAGTGTTTCTTTGTAGTTCCCTCCGTTCTTTTCTTGGGATTTGTTATCTCACCAGAGGGCATATGAGTTGATGACAGCAAGATAGCGGCTATTCGAGACTGGCCGACTCCAACGTCGTTTACGGAGGCTCGCAGTTTTCACGGTCTCGCCTTCTTTTACCGACGGTTCATATCTCATTTTAGTACTATTACCGCGCCTATTACGGACTGTCTTACCGGCAAGACGTTCGTCTGGACCCCTCAGGCAACCGAGGCATTCACTCTTATCAAGGGTAAGCTTACAACCGCACCAATTTTGGTTCTTCCGGATTTTTCTAGGCCATTTGAGCTTTCTTGTGACGCCTCCAAGGTCGGGATTGGAGCGGTGTTGAGCCAAGATGGTCGCCCTGTTGCTTTTTTCAGTGAAAAGCTGACAGGCCCTCGCCTCCGATACAGTACCTATGATGTAGAATTTTATGCCGTGTTTCGTGTTGTCCGCTATTGGCGTCACTACTTGTTCCAGCGGGAGTTTATCCTGTTCTCAGATCACGAGTCGTTGCGTCATCTTTCCTCCCAGGACAATATCTCGACACGGCATGCAACGTGGTCCTCCTATTTGCCACAGTTTACCTTTGTCTTACGACACCGTTTAGGGAGTTCTAACCGTGTCGCGGACGCCTTGAGTCGCCGTTCTGCTTTGTTGACTGATATGAGGGTCTCGGTGGTGGGTTTTGAGGTCTTGCGTGATCTTTATCAGTCCGATCCTTTTTTTGGTCCTATCGTCACTGGCCTGAGTTCGGCGACTGCTACGGAGTATGTACTTGTTGACGGGTTTCTCTTTCGGGGTGTGTGTTTGTGCATCCCAGCCTGTAGTCTTCGCCTGAAGATTGTTGCAGATGTTCATGGTTCTGGACATGTTGGTCGTGATCGATCTATTGATTTAGTACGTCGTTCCTTCTTTTGGTCGTCGTTACGACGTGATGTGACTCGTTATGTAGCGAGATGTCGTGTGTGTCAGGTTTCAAAAGGGGTAGCCTCGAATGCCGGGCTGTATCGTCCGCTGCCTATTCCTTCGCAGCCGTGGGTGGCGATTAGTATGGACTTTGTTCTTGGATTGCCACGTACTCAGCGGGGACACGACTCTATCTTCGTGGTGGTCGACCGCTTCTCGAAAATGGTTCATTTCATTCCGTGCAAACGAACGACTGATGCTGTACATGTGGCCCAATTATTTTTTCGCGAGGTTTATCGTTTACATGGCTTACCATCTTCGATAGTATCCGATCGAGATACGAGGTTTCTCAATTTTTTCTGGCGGAGTTTGTGGCGTTTGGCTAATACTAGTTTGGACTTCAGTAGCGCCTACCATCCACAGACGGACGGTCAGACGGAAGCGGCCAATCGGTCACTCGGGAATTTATTACGTTGCTTGGTTGGTGAGAATGTGAAGGGCTGGGACCAATGGTTGAGCCAGGCCGAGTTTGCACATAACTCGGCCGTTAGTCGTGCTACCGGTCTCGCCCCATTTGAGGTCGTCTATGCAGTCCGACCGCGGAGCACTGCCGATTTATTGGCGTTGCCATCCTCACAACCCGTGGACCGCCATGCCGCAGATATGGTGTCAGATTTGCAGCGTGTTCATGAGACGGCGAGGACCCACTTGGAGGAGGTGACTGCGGCTTACAAACGCCGGGCTGATGTTCGAAGGAGACATGTCAAATTCGAGGTCGGTGATTTCGTGTGGGTTGTATTGACGAAGGATCGCTTCTCTGCTCATGAGTATAACAAGCTGTCGGCCCGTAAGATTGGTTCAGTGGAGATCCTTGAGAAAATAAACCCGAATGCATACCGCCTACGACTACCCTCTCATTTACGCACTTCAGACGTTTTCAACGTCAAACACTTAATGCCTTATCTTGGTGACAATTCCGAGGAGGATGAGCTCGTTGTGGATTCGAGGGCGAATCCTTCCCAACCGGGGGAGGATGATGAGGATGAGCTCGCAATAGCCTTCTTGGACAGATATGAGCGTATACCGGCTTTAAAATAATCTCTCACGTATCTTTTCATCTGTTAGCTATTTTATTAAGTTGCTAGTGTGTCTATTTATCTGTTATTTATCTCATTAAGTTGTTAGGGATTTTTATTTAAGAGTTTGGTAAGGTTTAGAAGTCTAGAAACAGCTTATTTATTTTGGCTCTTTCGTTACTGCGAGCGGTGAAGATAGAATAAAGAAATTATCTGCTTGAGTTTACGGTCTCTTTTCCCTTCTTCGTACTTTCGCTGCACCAGTAAGCCTTATAGCAAACCTGATATTAGCCCAACTACTTGACACACTATATACTAAAATATATCTTAAAGATTAAAGTAATTGGAACTAAAAATAATTATGGATCAGCCATGTAAGTGCAGCGTGTGCCCACACAGGATTTGATATTGCAATTTGACTCACTCATTGGCAAACCCATTGATAACCTGCATGCATGTGAATGCCTACGGTCTAATTGTAGCTACATTGTTAAATCTGATTGTTAAATGCAAAAAGATGACGATTGTTAAATCTAGGCATAGGTCTTCATAGATTTATCTATGACAACTTGTGTCCTATTGTAGCTACATTGACCAACTGAACATTACATTGCTCGTCACATTGTTCATCACTCGTCAAATTATTTATATGTCAATTTTTTTATTTTTGTTTTTATGTTGAATTATAGAGTCATAAAGACAGATGGGTCTCACTAGTGCATGAATGACCAAGAGACAGAAAATTTAAGATTGCTGTTTTTATGTTATTGATGTGTGTCGATAAAGAAAGCAAGTTGATCTGATCTAAATCTATGTTTGCCTGCCGGAAGGCAATGGAAACCATAAACAATAAACCTCACTGTTTTCTCAGAGCCTGCTGCTTAAATTTACATATATATGATTTCGCATGTTAGTTTATTCTATACTCTCCAAGAGAAATTTGCTATTTACTAATTAAATCATAGAAAATATTTTATTCTTTATGCAAGTAAATGCAAGATATTCCCAAGTTGTATATTGTCCGTGCGACAGGCTAGAAAACAACGTTTCATTTACGTGACGAAAAATATTGGAAACGACAGCTAGCACATAGTTTTTGCAACAATCTTAAAACAAGAATAATTTTTCTTGAGTTGACCTTATTTAAGTATCCCTTCTTAGCCTAATGCCTAGTTAATTACCCAGTTATCGTCCATTATAGAAGATTCATCTGTCCCCTTGTGTGACAACATAACAGCTAAGATTCAGAAGTTTTCAAGGATATGAATTAGCTCTCTGGACATGCGTCAGATTAAGACTAACATCGTCCTTCACTCACAGTACGAGGACTATTTATGTTATGTTATTTCAAGTTGTTTATCTAGCAACGTTCGTGGATACTGGGCGTGTGATAATGTCACTGAGTAACCGTGAAGATGAGCCCGTATAATAAGTTACAAGTTGAAAAGCTGGATGAAATGGATGACACTACATAGTAAATTTTGATAAATTTCAGGACACTTACAGCTTTTATGTTTTAAGGAAACAATGACTGACCGCCAAAGGCACATGCAAGTTTCAATACAAAGATATCTATACTTAGGACCTAAATTTTGGATAGCAATTAATGTTTTGGAATGTATTCGCCATACATAATTGAGTTTCATGGCTCAGTTTATTTTATTCATCCTTTTAGCAGAGCCAGTTGGATAGACAGAGTCCCACATGCAAAAACAGCAGGTCCCAATGCCTGCTTCTATACATATTACAACTTCCAAGATTGAGCACATCACACCCCTTCAGAAACATAGGAAAAGAAAAGACAACCCAATTTGTTCTCTCAATATTCATCAAAACTAGAAACCATACGGTTGATGTCAGAGCTTAATAAAAAATGTTTTTAGGCAGTTGAAGTTTACACACAAAGTCCCACAGCAGAAAAGCACCAAACAAATTGAGTGTTTTTAGTGAACCACTACAGCTTCTTAAGGCACGACCTTATTTTGAACAGTATCTGTTCTATAGGCTCGTACTTCTCCATCCTTTGAGTTCTAAGGAGACGATATGTCAAGTCTGGTGGATGAACAATGGCTGCCCGGCCAGCTTGGGTCCATTTCTTGGCTTGTCTTGATGAGCCAAGATGGCCTGGCAGACAGCTGTGTGACAGACCTTTTTTTTTTTTTTCAATTTTAATCGGAACAAATACTATATTGAACTGTGAACATAAAAAACACCCCCCTTTTTTCAATTTTAATCTGGACAAATACTATATTGAACTTGAGCATAAAAAACACCCAACAAAAAAATCACTGGAAATTTATGCAAGCAACTATAATTTAAAAATTATAAATCTGTTGTCATTAGTTTTCAGACAAAAGATCAAAGATAGCAACAATTATAGAATTCAAATTAATTCTTAAATCCTCTGAGACTGAGAAAAGTAAACCAACTGAGCTTTTTACCAAAGTGAGAGCTGGAAAACTTCATAAACATAGCACCAGATGCTCTGACTAATAATAAATAAACCATTCTAATAAAAATATTAGCTATTATTCATCAAAAGCATAAATTTCACCAACCTTTATCAAGGCCTGTAAAACCTTAGTGATGATAATGCAAAATACAGGCAGATATATCACTCTCTCATCTCATTGCAATGCCTAGAAACAAACACTCCAATCTCCATCTCTCTTCACTTGGCAGTCAGACAAGCACACTGCTCCTACCAACAAAACCTGGCAATATCATAATTTCAACTTCATTCAAACATGTAAAAATCCAAAGTTTGTCCGTTCTAATTAAGCGAGATATGTTTTCACCGCAACGATCAATACATTTTTCATGACAGGTGCATCAACGCATCATCAGTCAATCACTTACCACTAATAGCCTCTAAACAGTAATCATGATCTGAAAATCGTGTCGATAAAAAAAATCCCATACTAACAACATAAGCCAAGAANAAACAACCCATCCTACCAACATAAACAAGAAATGAGCATATGATAGTTAGACAGTAAATGGGTTGACAAAGGTGTTTTTGTGAGGCAAAACTTCACCAAGAATCGTATAAAATTCCCCAACCAGCAATTCATTAATGTTACGTGATATGGGGTTGATCCATCCAATCTCCCCGGTAGCAATAACCAAGTAGAAAACATCGGAACACTTGTTTTTTGACGATCCTTTAAACACCAACACCTCCATCTGCTGCAACTAGGGGTGTTCATCGGTCGGTTCGGTCGACCGACCGAACCGAAATACAAAAACCGAATTAACCGAACAACAATATGACTAAAACCGAACCGACCGAAAAATTGCTTAAAACCGAAACACAACCGAACCGAATTAGTCGGTCGGTTCGGTCGGTTAACCGATTATTTTTCAAAAATAAAATTTTTTGTGGATTGTTTACTAAGCCCAAACGAAATGAAAAGTACATCTACAGCCTTTAAGTTGAAATAAAAAGTACATCTACAGCCTTTCGAACGAAATGCACAATGTACATCTACAGCTCCCTTTCGAACGATAAAAATAAAAAATAAAAAGTAAAAATTGATACTGATAAGAAATCACAGCCCCGAAAGTTAACAAAATTCACATCACCTCTACACATCAAGATTCAAGAATACAAAGAGCATGTGTTACAGTTACAAAAAAATAAAACAAAAAAAAATACTTACAGCGACTATGGAGGATCAATGAGGACGGAGGAGCAGCGACGACGGAGGTGCAGCGAGGACGGAGGAGCGCGACGGAGGTCGGAGGAGCAGCGAGAGACGGACGACTGGTGCGACCGTGCGAGTCGACAACCGGTGATGACGAGCTCCTTGACTGGACGGAGGAGCAGCGACCGACGGAGGAGCACCGATCGACGGACGACTGGTGAGCAACGGAGGAGTAGCGGCTAGGGCCTAGGGGTGTAGCCGTGTAGGGTCGGAACTCGGAAGATATGGGGACGGCGGGGAGGATTTGAGGGAAGTTGCGGGGCGGGGAGGATTTGAGGGAAGGTGCGGCGTTCTGAAATGAGATTGGGAATTTGAGATGTATTAGGTTAGGGACGGGTCATTTGTATCCAATTATTATATTATAATATATAATATATAATATTATGATATATATATATATTCGGTCGGTTCGGTTTTTTCGGATATTTTTTGTCCAAAACCGAAACCGACCGAACAAACCGAAAATTTACAAAACGAAAACCGACGACCGACCGAGTCGAACAAAAACCGAACCGAATTGGTCGGTTCGGTCGGTTTCGGTCGGTTCGGTCGATTTCAGTCAAAATTTGCACACCCCTAGCTGCAACCAACCGACCGGCTGAATACTACGCATATATCGAATTTCACTTGCTAACACAATCAGACGTTCCCATTCCCTCCAATAATAACAATAATCCCCCGACACCATCTCCCAACTCGAAACACGCGATCCTCAACTTCAACCACTAGAGTGAGGGACTTCCCAGTTGACAGGTACCACGAGCTCGTGAACTTGGGAGGATTCTTGGGGAATATTGGGGCCTGCGTCTCCATCATAACCTCCGTCTCCACATTCAGCGTCAGGACAGTGTCCCTAGAAATCGAATGAATAAAACCTTCTGTCACCAACAGGTCGCCTATGGTAATAGAATCAGTCAAGTGGTTGGTCGCAAGATTCCTCCACCAAGTATCGACACCCACGGTCAATATGGCCCACCGAGCATGGGCGTGCCTTCCCCCATCACTGTATCCCACGGCAACCTTATAAAGCTTGGAGGCCTGCGCGTACCCCACAGAACAACGTATACACTTTGCATTTTTGGCGAGCGGAGGGAGTTGGAAGGCTCGTCCAGTGACAGGGTTGACCACGTGGAGTTGGAGAAAGGGTTGGAAATACGTGTACCCAAGGATGAGGCCGTTGCAGCTAGTCTCTAACCTATATCTGAATTTGTAAGCAGCGTAGTAGTTGGATACCGTGACACGGCCCTGTTTCATAGACACGAAAACCGCGCGCTGGGAGGGATGTTCATAATCATAATTATTATGTGCTGGGCCTGGGGCATATCGGAATCGGAAAACCGCGCGCTGGGAGGAATGTTCATAATCATAATTATTATGTGCTGGGCCTGGGGCATATCGGAAGAAGAGGCCGTAATCGTCAGTTTTCTGCTGGAGGTGGAGGTTTACGAATTTGCTGGAGCGGATCGTGTCGTGGTACAACTTCCGGCAGACGAGACTTGCCCTGTGAATGTCTTCAGCAGAAAGGCTCAACAGGATCTTGAAAAGCACATCATCGGGAAGGGAAATTAGGAGACTGTTTTCGGCACAAACGCCGGCTTGCTTCTCGCCATCTGCTTCAACTTCGCTAGACGAAGGGCGGTGATGAGGTGGAGACGACTGCGGCGGGCGGACGATTGATGATGGAAAATTCGCCATTGCGGTTTTCTTGTATCTGGTCTTGAATGGAAAATTCGCCGAGCTGTGAACTCCTAGCTTCTGCCTTCAACGCCGGGTCAGTGATACCACTCCCTCTTTCTCTGATAGAGATGCTGGCCCGCCGATCGGTGAACCAAGTGCTTATGCCAACAATTCCTCGGTTTCGTTTGCTTCTTTCGGTCCGCTCTCTTGCTTCGGTCAGGAAGAGTGGTTGTCGAGGATCAATCTCTCAGCCGAAGTTCAGTCCTTTGTCAGGGAACGGGAGAATTCCCACTACCGTCATATCTAACACTAAACCCTCGTCCGTTGTCAATTTCATAAAAGAAGACTGACAGAGAAGGCAGAGTTGGACTTTTATTTAGTTACGGAATATTTATTAATCACAATTCACAAATGTGTTTCCTAATGCACTAATACATAGGAGTGCCAAATTAGCTCAACACGGATATATCAATATTTATTGCAAATATGTTTCCTAATGCACTAATAAATAGGAGTAGAAAATTTGCTCAACACGGAAAGAGCACTAACCAAAATAAGAAAATATTAATCAAATTACATCACCATCACCTAAATTAAGAATTAATGTTATTCAAACTAGCGCATATCTCGTGCGATGCACAAAGTATACAAATTTGGAGAATGTTATAATTTGACATGCATTAGGATAACTAGTACGTACCCCGTGCGATGCACGGGACAGAGATATTAAATGAGTTATTTTCACTGTTCGTTTAAGTCAAAAAACAATAGGGTTGTCATCTATTTTTTCACATTTTTTAATCAACGTTAAATCTAAAGAACAATAAAGTTATAATCTATTTTCTACCTATTTTAATCAGCGTTGCTTTTTTAGCCAGAACATTAAATATGATCATGTTAGGCTAGCTTGTAAAACAATTAATATATTATCTCACTAACACTTTCATATTAATATAAAATTAATTTTAGTATATATATTTATTTCCTTGATATAAGAGAAAATAACAGTATTACTTTTTTTGTTCACCATATAATACTTCATTATTATTTTATTATAAACTTTGTTGTAATATAATGTCATTGTTATTTATAAAATTTATAGAAGTTGTACATCTTCTTTTTCTTTTATTTTATGTAATAAAAAATATTTAATGCACGTTAATATTATTTATTTATGTAATAAATTTAAAATACGTAAATAAATTTAAAATTAAATAGTGTATAAATATTTTACAAAATATACAGACATGTTTTTTAAAATTTAATTTTGTATACTAATTAAACAATTTTGATTTAGCAAATGTCAAAAACTCAATTCCTTCTATAATCAAAATTTTTCTAATTTGCGTTACAAGGATTTATAGTTTATTTAGCATACTCTGCAATAGAAATATATTTTACAAGAATTTCATTATAGAAAAAAATCAAGATTAAAAAAAATAATCATTGTTACCAATAATATACAAATTAAAGAAATATATTTTACAAGAATTTCATTATAAATTAAGGTTTTAGTTGTTTATATAAACTAATATGTCTATATATATAGACACACACACTTTAATCGAAATTGTACAAAACCTAATTGCTCAAAATTTCATGTGAGTTAAACTAAGGGTTGAACAAGTCATGATGTCATCCTTTTCCAACAAAATTGCAAATTTAGATAGCCAAATTTCAATTTTTTTTCAAATAGATTTTAAAAAAAGTACGAGTAGAGTGAGATAAAAAAAATAGTTATATTTTTCATAAATAATATAATTTATTCGACTAAAACGAATGTACCTTTTTTTTTAAAAAAAAAAATCTACACGTTTTGGGGATGAACCTGCATATATATCTCGAAAGTGGTGAATAATCTTTCATGGACAAAAAAATTATCCCAGTTTAGATTTTTGTTTACCTATATCAACCATGAATACGAAAAAATAAAACAAAAGAAAAAAAAAGACAACTTAGAATTAAAACATGACATCAATATTTAGTTGCATTCATTGTAAACAATATATGATATTTCAGAATTGATATTGCGAAAAAAAATAATAACATACAAACAAAGTGAGATGAAGAATTTCGAAGAGTGCAAGTACAACCCATGGCTTTAATTGTGAAGAGTAAAAAAAATGTGTATATATATATATATATATATATATATATATATGTATTAATTTTTAAATGAATTTTTAATTATATATTATTTTTTTATATTGATTTTGGTATGATTGAATGTGTTGTTTGACTGAAAAATATGTAGTTTGTTTAATTTCGTTTATTCTTAGTTGGTTAATTTGTTATATTTTTGACAAAATATTGAAGAAACCATATAAACATATGCACATAATGCCATTATTTTGATTTTTTTATTGGCCATAATTATATAACTATAATTTCTGAAAAAAAAAAGGCATAACAAGTTAATTTATTAATAATGATGAGATCATATTGCCTTTATCAGAACATTATCAATATTATTTTCTCAATAATGAGAATATATTGTGTTTATCAATACATTACTACAAATAAAGACCCACACAACATACTATAAATGCAACAATTAATTTGTCGTTATCACATATGCAAGTGTTAATTTTATTTTTTATTATTTTAGATGTATATATATTATAATTAAATATTTAATTTTTATTGTTTTAAAAAAATTCTATCAATGTGCATTTCTAAAAAAAAATAAGTTAAATTATAATTATCATATATTTCAAATAAGTGTTCATTGTTGACCTAAAGATCGACGCCTTGACGATGATCATCGTGATTGTTAGCTTAATATAACTTAAACTATTAACTTAAAAGTGTATAATAAAAGGTAATATAAAATGTATAGGCATAAACTTTTATTTTTTACTTTCAGATGGACATTTATTATTATAGGTTTTATACAAAACAAAAATTCGATGATTTAGTGCTAGAATATGATATCAAAATTTGATTTTATTTATGGGTAAGAAATAGATTCATAGTGTGAAATGATATTGCGAAAGGAAAAAAAGAAAATAATAACAAAAAGATTCAGCAATTTCGACCATAATAGAGAAAGAGTAATAACATCGTTTTGGATGTGTAAATAAGAAATATAGATTTATCGAATTATTCAGTGAAATTTTTATTATATACGAGATCTTTCATATTAGTTTCGGTCCTAATTGATTGAAGAGTTTTGAGTAAAAAATATACAATTTGTTTAATTTATTTTCTTTTATTTTAGTTGGTATCATTGTTTCACTTAGGAATAAATTTGACGTCATCTAAAATTGGTCAGTAAAATGGCTGCACTTATTTCAATTTCTTTATGGATCCACAATTATGCAATTATAAATTTTTATGAATAAAAATAGTATAATGTGTTAATTATTGTTAAATTTTTTGTTATTATAACACATTTATTAAGAAAATGACAAAAATGTATTATCGCTGCTGAATTTTTGTTGCAGTAGATAAAATCCAATACTATAATGCATCAACTATTTTTTCATATCATATATTACAAATGTTAATATTATCAAAATAATTTTTATTATTTTAAAATTTATATAATATAATTCAAATGTCTTTTTCTTATTATCCTATCAAAATTTTGTAAATGTATATTCCTAAAAAATACATTCATTATATTTTCCATATTCAAAAATAAGTAATTTGTCATTGACATGAACATTAACATTTATTGGGCCTGTTTGTAACTTTACAAAAAATGATCCATGTTGCAGGTCATTATGATCACCATTGCACTTATTTTGCAAAGAATGAATTTTTGAAACTAATTTGCAAATAAAATAAAGTGAAAAATATGTGGACTTTTTAAAACAAATGCATGTGGAACAAAATTGAGTCATTTTTGTATTTAAATTAAATGCATGCAGACCAAATTTGAGTGAATTTTTTGTATTTTTTTAAGTATTTAATTATTTTTTATTTTAATTGACTAATATCTGTACATGTTATTTTTTATTATTTGTATACCAATCTCTCTGTATAATAGTAATAATGTCTTTATATTTTCATAAATGATGAAAATTATTCTATTATATAAACAATTTTGAGGAAAAGTTTTAAGGAGTATCACCACTAATATGACAAATACTTTTTTTTCCGTTCAATATCACAATGTTTTTTTTTTCTTAAGTTTCATGTATTTAACTTTTAATTTTCTATGAAAAAAAATATGGTATTTTGTAGTCAGTCGGTTATATGTTGTTTTTTTAGTCACGAATCTCTATTTTGTGATGATTATTATTTATCATCATAATAGTATTATGAACACATTTTATCCGCTACTATATTATATTTACAGTGAATTTTTTTTTTTTGCCATGTTGAAATGGTTAACACAAATTTTAGCCATGTTTGGCAAAAAATATCTTTTTTAGCCATTTTGGCACCTAAAAAGACAAAAATACCCTTACTACCTATTTTTTTTAAAAAAAAAATCGAAAATCGTCCATTTCTGGGGTTCAGAAATCGTTTTTGGGCTCCAGAAATGATCATTTTTGTAGTCCAGAAATCTCATTTCTAAAGCCCAGAAATCCCTAAAATCCGAGATACGATTGCTGGGATCCAGAAATCGATTTCCAGTTCAAAAATCACAAAAAAATCGAGATACAATTTTTGGGAATGAAAATCGATTTCTGGACCCTAGAAATTGTTTCTAGTTCCAGAAATGCCAGACATCCAAGAAATGATTTCTGGTCCCAGAAATCGTTTCAGGTTTAGAAATCGTTTCTGGTCCTAGAAGTGCCAGAAATCATTTATGAACCCAGAAATCGACTGAATGTACGGGTGATCGAGATGTGTGTCGAGCAATCTTTGTACTGCTGTATATTTGTCTTTTTAAAAAAAAAAAGTTGAATTTTTAGGCCATATCAGACCTTAGCGCCGCTAAGGAGGAAAAGCTCGCGCCGCTAAAGGGGCTAGCGGGCAACAGACGGTCGGACCTAAGTCTAACAGACCCTAGCGCCGCTAGGGGTACCTAAGTCTAACAGACCCTTGTCATATGATATGATTTTTTCTGTCGAATTTAACATGAGTGGCTATAAGAAAACACAACAAAAACAAGAAATCATCCTTACATACAAAACCAAGAAATACTCGCAGCAAGCACTTTAAGATCCACATTATGTTTACATGGAGATATTCAAACTCAAAACTTGCCCCACCTACAAAAGCATCCTTAAATATAAAACCATCTATAAGAAAACATAACTAAAAGGTTTCGTTTGGAGGAGGTGGCGGCAGCTGGTGCTGGCCTCCGGCCCGTAGAGGTGGCGGTGGGGGTGGGCGGGGGCCGGCCCTGGGTAGTGGAGGTGGCGGCGGAGAGCCAGAGCCCGGTTGGACGGAAGCTGAGGCGGGTCAGGTCCCGGTGGGGGAGGGAGGGGCCTGCTTGTGGACCGCAGGGGGTTACCGAGTGGAGAAGGGAGGGGGTAGGGGGGCCCGTTTGTGGGCGCGAGGGGGATCTCGAGTTTTGAGTTGGTTGGAGAATGAAGGTCCGTGAGCAGGCTCCGGCTGCTGTTTCTGTTGAGTCTACTAAGCCTGCTTTTGAAAGACTGATTACCGTACTTCTCTTCGCTCATCAGAGCACCTAGACTGGGCATCTTCTGTGTAGATGCTGAAAACACAAGATGACCAAAGGAAAGGTTATACTCCTAAAAAAAGAGAAAAGCAAAAGAGATGACCATATTTTTTACCTATGGAATGGTCACTTACGCTTGATCTGAGACGTATACAGTGACCGGAGGTATTTTTACTGCAAAGCTTTCTTAACCTGAGGGCACAAGATGCTGAGAGCTTCATGCATTCTTGTTATGGACAACTGAATTCTCTTGGCATGTAAAACCTCCTGCATGCATTTAATTTGTAATACTTCAGCCTGCAAAGGAAAAAAAAAAATTTTATTCGATTATTGCCAAGCATGAGTATCGCTATTATGGATAGGCATTAAATTTTAGGTAAATCAGAAGAGAATAAATTTTAGGAGTAGAATATGACATGAAATGTGGGACTTTCATTTAATGAACGAATAACTTGTTGTTCCTGCTAATTTCCCAGCAACGATATTCGTAAAAATGTAACGAGCAAGGTGTTCCATTAACATCTTGAAACAAATAACTCATCAATAATGTGTTCATAGCTAGAATATATGTTACAAAGAACACGAAGGGCATTTTCATTCAACATTTACCCACAAAGCTTTGCTAAAATTATTTCAAGCACAGAAAATGTGATATAATCATACAGAATTAACCAAGTTGCCCTTCACAATTACAAGCATTAGTGGTTCATTAATATTACCAAAGGTTCTCTACATTATATCTTGATAAAAACTGAATTTGAGCGCATGAAAAATAAAGGATGAACGAGTCCATAGGTAGAATGTATTAAGTTTTCTCAATAGGATCGATGACCAAGAAAAAATCATCAAAAATCCAAATATTACCTTTGTTATTTCAATAGGTTTCAACCATGACAAAATACGAGAAAAGACTAGGATAGATAAGTACGAAATGTTTCAAGACACCTCATTGATTCAAATTTGAAGATAGTGTTAGCATATACCTGTTAAAGGGATTCATAAAGTAAAATTGCATGAAAACAAGCAGCATGATGGTGCAATAGCAAATTTGCATCTCTTCGTGAAAGATAGTGTCTTTAACTAACACAACGAGTACAACCTTAAAATGCCAAGCTTCCTTAATATAATATGCAATCACCTTTAACTAACACATGCTCCCAAGGAGTTAAGAAAACAGTAGACCATTCTGAATCAAATTTGCATAAGTAAATACTCATAAAAAAAGACAAAAACAACGAGTACGAGCTGTTCATACCGTCTCGCGACTAATCTCTCCCGAGTCTATCAGATAAGCCAACAGAGGTTCTTCTTGTTCCTCCCACTTGCAGTACACACTCATTACCATAACCAAAATCCAGAGCACTACAAAAAAATGATAGCTTCTTTTGGAAAATACATTTTCTTGAATCCTCAATTTCCCAATGGTGCAAGAATGCTTCTCATAGCATCACACCAAGAATCAAACGGACAAAATACACCAACCCAAGGGGTCATACATATTCAGTACATGATTGTGAATCAACCCAAGTCAAATATGCCTCTGGGGGAGCCTCCAATCATGTCTTTGACCGAAATCTGGTCTCCCCCTCCTTAAAAAATTCATGCAAAATATGTACACGATAAGATATTACACGAACGAAATAAATTTAATCTTCAAAATGTGGCCATGAAACAATTTCTTAAACAGTTTAATACACTTGATATCAAACAATAAAAATCTGTCCAAACATTAAATGCCCTAAATACACATATTATAAGCCTAAGAAGCAAATCTGAGTTTAGAAAAATAATCATAACTCAAGCATTATGGCATCAAATCGAATTATGCCATCAAATCGAGTTTATAAAACCCTAATCGAAATCTGAGTTTAAATAAAAACCATAATTCAAACAAGAAAAACACTAATTCAAACAAAAAAACCCTAATTCGAACATGAAGGGACTACTTGATTTCAGATTCCGGCGAGGTCGTGAAAGCCCGGTCGATGAAGGCGGGGTGAAGGCCCGGTCGATGAAAGCCCGGACGGTGTTCGGTCGTGAAGAGTGAAGGCCCAGTCGAGGTCGTGAAGGTCGTTTGGACGGTGTTCATTCGTTTGCCATGAAGAATGAAGATGAATTTTTGAAGAAAAAATTTCGATCGTTTGACGTGAAGAGGAATTGCAGAGCGGGGTGGAAATGTTTTTGAAGCTCAAATGAATTGAATTAGGGGGAAATCAAATTGTGTAAAGACAAAGATTGAGATGGAGGTAAGGTAGTAAAAACACATGCCAAAATGGTTAAAAAAGATATTTTTTACAAAATGTGGCCAAAATTTGTGTTTTGTAAATTTTTATGGTCATTTAATGGTATTAACACCCATTTTTTTACTGTATATTTTTTTTTTTTCTGATACCCATAGTATAGTACACAAGTGTTTGTACTATTAAAATCATTATTTATCAATTAAATAAATATAGTTATTAGTCTACTATATAATGGTAGGTAAAAAAAGTATTATAATGTATGAAAAAATAATTTTAGTGTGTCATTTTAGACAAAGTAAAGATATATTTTTTGCACGAGTATCCTGTATCCGTACTAGTAAAATCATTATTTATCAATTAAATAAATAGAGTTATTAGTCGACTATATAATGTTAGCTAAAAAAATAATACAATATACGACAAAATAATTTTAGTGTGTCATTTTAGACAAAAATAATAATATATTGATTATATTAAAATTAAATATAATTTTTTATTAATAATTTACTATCATATATTATAGAACTCAATATTACAGAAGTATCTCAGTTATATTATTCTTCATCCTATGGTACAACTCAATCCTATTCATATAATATTAGGGTCTTTATCTTATTGACCGCCTTATATATATGCGCACATATGTGCCCAGTTGCAATGTTCGCGTAAACCCTTGCAGGTCGAGAGTGGTAATTAGAGAAAAAAGTTGGAAATTAACAAAAGGACGCCTCTAGGGTTCCAAAGAGTTTTTCTTTTTCTCCCACACTTCACAGAAGATTCTTCTAAGGTACTCTAGGTATTCTGGTTTTTGATCATATTTCTGGATCGGAGTAAGTTGTTTCAATTCCTTGCAATTTCAGCACATTCTGATTTTGAAATTCACTTTGGAAGCAATGAATTCGTTCGCTGATGAATGTGATTTTCACCCGTTTATTCGATTATATCATTCTTTGTTGTTAATGAATGAAGTTGTTTGCGGCTGGTAGTTCTAATGACGCTTTGTTTGTGCTTTTATGTCCATCCTGCTGGCAGTTCAGGATTAATGGAAGGGTATGAGATATGATTTGAGTTTAATTTTGGAAAGCCAGATTATTATAAATTATGAATTATTTAATTTGAAACCTTAGATGATATTTCGAAAAGTTGGGGGTGGTTGAGATAGATACTATATTGAATGGGAATTAATAATTTTTGAATTGTAACATGTTCTGGTGTCAAGGATTGAAGTGTTCGAATTAGAAACCTGTTTTAAAATATATTTTAAAATTTTTTCACTCTTCCTCAGATGTCAAGTCACGAGATTGATGAGAAGCCTGTTTTTCCATCTACTGTGGACTCGCCTGAAGCAGCAGGCGAGCAGCAACAAGCTCACAGAGGGTCACCAAGTGATGGATCCAAGGTCTGCAGCTTTTATACTTTGTGTTTTGTTTTGTTTTTCTTGGGATGGGTTTGTTATGATACTTATTTTTGGAAAAAAACTGGAGATAGCCAGAGAGGTTATCTGTCTTGTACCACTGTAAAGAATGGGCTAAAATGAAGCACGAAACTGAACCTGCTCTTAGTTTCAGAGATTGTTAAGCCAATGCCAATCCTGGCATTTGGATTATCAAGCATTTTGTCGCTGTTTGTCACATGCTTTTCATTTTCGGATGCTTAACTCAATAAGCTGTCTGAAAATATATTTTGCCTTTTCTGTCTGTTTTTTTTAGACTTAATTTGATTTTTTCTTGACACTCATCATATCACGCACTTGCAGCATGGCTCTCAAGACCATGTGAAAGAAAGGGATAGGGAGTATAGCAGAAGCAGGGACAGGGAAAGAGGTCGTGACAAAGACAGGGACAGGGCAAAGGATAAGGACCGTGGACATGAAAGAGAGAGGGATAGAGAAAGAGAAAGAGAAAGAGACAGGGATAAGGAAAAAGATAGGGAAAGGGATAGAGACAAGGACCGTGATCGTCATCACCGGGACAGACATAGGGACCGAAGTGAGAGAAGGGAGAGAACCAGAGACAGGGATGATGATGATGACCACTACAAAAGCCGAGATCATGACAGGTATGAATATGATCTAAAGAGAAAAAAAAAAAAAATCTGTTTGTAGGTAGAGTAACTGCCTAGAAAGGAAAATCGCCATTGCATCATGACCAATTGATTTCATGTTCTGTAGAAAATGTTTTGTGATATGGGCTATCCCAGCTTATTGTCATCTGCCGTTATTCAACATTTGTTTCAATATGTGATCCTAGGGTTTTATAATGGTTATTCTGTTAAAAAGAATTTTATAATTAATGTATTGGTTTGTAGGCGAAGGGATTACGATAGAGACAGGGAGGATAGACGCAGTCGCAGATCTGGATCTCGATCAAGGGCTAGATCTGAGCACAGATCTAGGTCCAGGTCACGTTCACGTTCACGGTCGAAAAGGTAGCTTGTGTAATTTTTCTTGTTTCTCTGCGTTAGTGATTGTACTTGGACAAGGAAGTCTTCTTTCATACATGTTATTGGGGAAAACAATGCAGATTCACATTTGTCTCAGGAGTTAAATGTTATTCTAACTGTTCATTGATCTTGACTGCATGAAATCATGGCTTTAGAAATTTTTATATTGTGATTTTTTATGTGGTAAAAATTTAAGTCTTGTATCTGACTTGGCAAGAGTCATTTCTAAGTTGGGTCTTCGAGCTAAAGGACATCCGAAATTTTTATCTTTTTTTAGTAGAAACCATAATAGTGAAGCCTACTAACTCATATAATCTTAAGTAAAAGGATTGTTAATAGCAAAGGTCAGTAGAAACATGCATGTTTGGTAGCTTGGAGCTTTAGGTGCAGACTGGTATTGTTAATATTTCCTTTTCGACATGGATTACTTTACTCGTCGAAATTTCTGCACTTATGCTAGGATTTGAGACCATTATAGCAATTTTGACCACTCTACTTATGGTCCATTGTAGCTTCTACAGTCTATTTTATTTGAGCAACATATATCTTTTTGGGAAATTGACCAGCTTTTATGTGTATTAAAAAAAAGTAGAATTAATTAACTTGCATGGTGGCCAGTGTTATCTAATCACTAATGGCGGGCGTGGCAGGCTTCTGCCAAACCTCCATGCTAAATTTGTGGTTATGGCAGCTGCCATGGCTGGCCGTTATGGAGGGATTTTGGCTGGCCTCCATTTACTGCCATTCGCCATTAATAACGCTTTTTTTATCTTACCAAGAACCTGTTAGTTTTGTGTAACCAATATTTCTGTCACCTGTTGCACGTGTATTGTCCTTAATAATTCAACTTTACAGCAAGAGAATGAGTGGTTTTGACATGGCTCCACCTGCTGCATTGCTTCCCAATCCCGCCGCTGCTGTTGCAGGTATTACTAAACAATAATTCCCGTAATTTAATATATGTGGTAACTATTACTTTTTCTTTGGTTGACTTAGTGTGCAAAGTGCGTATCAAAATGCATGGTTTCAATTGGGTAAGCGTACTCCGTCCTTCAGTTATGGAGTACTAGTTCGTTGATTGGTTATTTATTCAGTTTCTTATTTATTTTTTGCTTGGTGATTGAAACTGAGAGGGTTTTTGGTTTTTTGTTGTGTTTGGTGTTTGTTTGTTTGTTTTGTATGTCCTGTGTAATGTTCTAAGAAGGCAATATTGGGCTACTAGCCCCACTGTGCTGACAATGGGCGTGAGCCGACTTCTGTAGCTTTTATGTACAAGGAAGAATAAACAGGTCTTGTCTATCTTCAACCAGGATTGCATGCTTGATAGTTCTTAGAAACATTTTTTATTATATTCTATCCTGTTAAAGAGTTTCATCGCAGGACGACAGTTGACCAGAGTATTGTGGGTTTAAATCTACGAAAAAAAGATTAATCTACATTTTTTCAACATTTGCTACCTATATATAACAAAGGTTTCAGGCATTAATATTTCATATGTAACTTGGTTTAGCATTTACAGCAGGTCAGCTGCCTGGGACCACCCCTGTTATGCCTGGAATGTTTCCTAATATGCTACCTCTGGCAGCTGGACAGGTTTTCTACTTTACTGTCTCAGTTCTTAACTTATTATCTCTTTGATTCAGATTTTAATGATTTATCACATCTTTATGCAGTTGGCAGCGCTTCCGATAATGCCCGTCCAAGCAATGACTCAGCAGGTTGAATTTGTGTTTCTCTAACTTACCTTGTTAGTATTGATTGTTAAATAATATAATATTCCTTGAATTCTGCTTTGTCAGGCTACAAGACATGCTCGGCGGGTCTATGTTGGTGGGCTCTCCGCAACTGCTAATGAACAGGTAGTATAGTATGTTTGTTCCATATCATTCTAGGACACATGCGTGAATATTTAACTAGCAATATATATAGAGTTGCATACTTGCATTAGTAATATCCGAATGTTGAAGGATAATTTTTTTCCTTGAAAACTGAATGCACCTTTCTTCATTCAATTCAAATAAAGATATATATCATCTCATGCCGTTTTGTTGGCATTGTGATGTTACATTTTAAGCTTTTTGGTTACCTGGCTGTTACCTTTTGATTTACAAAATATAGCTTCTAGTTAGCGCATTATTTTTTTTTTTTTGGCCCACAAAATGCACTCACTTTTTCATTGTTTAATCCCCCCTCATTGGCAGTCCGTGGCTACCTTCTTTAGTCATGTTATGTCAGCAATTGGAGGAAATACTGCTGGTCCAGGTTGGTTCACATACATTTACAATTGCTATTTATTTATTTATTCGTTTACTTGAAAGTAACATTTATGAATGTATTGAACAATCCTGTTTCTTTTTGTTCTTTTCCTCATTCAGGAGATGCTGTGGTCAATGTTTATATCAACCACGAGAAGAAATTTGCTTTTGTGGAGATGCGATCTGTTGAGGAGGCCAGCAACGCGATGGCTTTAGACGGCATTATGTTCGAGGTAAGTGCTATTTTAGAAGACCTTAATAAATCTATGAGTCGTATATGCTACTATACATTATCACAACATTACATATAATTCTTTCCTCCAGGGTGCACCAGTTAAAGTGAGAAGGCCGAGTGATTATAACCCTTCACTGGCAGCAACTCTTGGCCCCAGTATGCCAAATCCCAATCTGAATCTTGCTGCTGTTGGGCTCACACCAGGATCTTCTGGTGGGCTTGAAGGCCCAGACCGCATATTTGTCGGAGGTTTACCGTATTATTTTACGGAAGCACAGGTTAGAGAGCTGCTGGAGTCCTTTGGGCCGCTTAGAGGCTTTGATCTGGTCAAAGATAGAGAAACTGGGAACTCCAAGGGCTATGCGTTTTGCGTTTACCAGGATCTGTCTGTAACGGACATTGCTTGTGCAGCTCTCAATGGTATAAAGATGGGAGACAAGACTCTTACTGTCAGACGTGCTAACCAGGGTGTACAACCTAACCCTGAGCAAGAGAGCGTGCTACTCCATGCCCAACAACAGGTAGCCTTGCAGGTAAATGGAGCTTTTGATGTTGTGTTATAGTCCATCCTTTTTTTAATAAGTGTCGCTTTGAGAAGTTGCACAGTAATTAAGAATTTTTTTTCGCCAATAATAACCCTCATTAATGAGGATAGAGATGGATGTTTTGAGAAAAGATGAAGCGTGAATATGAAAAGATGTAGTATATTTATTAGCTAGATGAGGGTAATAATGGAAAAATATGCACAAAAGATCCAAAACGTCATTTATTTGGTTAATTGTTGATAAAGCCAAAATGACATTTAAAAAAAAAAGGGAGGTAATATGTTATATCCTTTATGTTTGGTACTGCCACCAACCCCTGAGATTGTCAGATTTTCTTTTTGGGTTAATCTTGTGTCAGTTTAAGCAACTTTTCATTCATTTTCTCCCGAAGAGACATGTGAAGCAGTCTACTAACAATTCTCGTTCGTTTCTTTTGCAGAGGCTTATGTTGGCACCTGGCGGGATTACGCCTGCTACAAAGATTGTGTGCTTGACCCAAGTGGTGACTGCAGACGAGCTCAAGGATGATGAAGACTATGAGGATATAGTAGAGGACATGAGAAGTGAATGTGCAAAGTTTGGTGAGTGCTCTGATTATTTTTGTTCCGAATTTATATTTTCCTCTGCATTTTGAACTTGCAGTCACATGGATGCTGCAAGCGTATTATATAAACACAATTGGCATTTCATTGTTTTAATTCATTTGTGCACCTTGTGGATATAACCTTCCACCTTGCATTTACTCACTGATTTAAACATTTCTCATTAATTTTTGCAGGTTCTTTAGTGAATGTAATCATTCCTCGGCCGTCTACCAATGGTGACATGTCCCCTGGTGTAGGAAAGGTTAGTTACATGAATATTACTAGGTGTGTCCGTCTTTTATGTCACTGGGAGGTTTCTGTGAGAATAATTTATTTTGTTTTGTATAGGTATTCTTGGAGTACTCGGACACTGAGAGTTCTACAAAAGCACGACTAGGGCTTAATGGAAGGAAATTCGGTGGAAATCAAGTCGTTGCTGTTTTCTATCCTGAGAATAAGTTCTCTGAAGGAGATTACAGTGGCTAGTACCCAAGCAGTGATGCAGGCTCTTTTAGTCCACACACTTCCTTAGTGTTTTTTTTTTTTTCAAGGACATTGCTTTGGTTTGTTGAAAGATTCTGTTATGACTTTATGTGCGATAATGGATTAATCACTTTGATCAGGCATCATGAATTTGAAATGAAAAACTATGAACAATCCCTGCATTTTGGATTTTGTTTCCGTGTGCAAGAAATTCAGGTAAAATGTTGCCTAGCTATCTTGTTGATTTTAATGTTTCAACTAGGGCTGAAAACGAGTCGAGTCGAGAATTGGCCTTATCGTGTAGGATTGATGTTTTTTTTTAGTTGCTCGAACCCAAGCTTGACTCGAAATCAAAATGCTCGAGCTCGGCTTTAGTTCAGCTAAAAAAAATTTAAGTGGAAAAATAAAATTATCATTAAGTATTTGTGTTATATTATTTAAATATATATAAGGGGTATTTTAGTATTTAACATATATATTGAGTCGTTCGTTTCGTTTGCAGTCCTAGTTTCAATTACGTGCTAGCAAAATAGAAAAAGGAAAAATATGTAATGCATACGTCTATGTTAAAAAGGGTTCTAACATTTTGCAAACTGGTCCTAGTAACTAGTAAGTACTAAGTTACTTGTGTTGTGTGTTGTGATGGTTTGTTGATGTTTGTTTCACTGTTGTAGTGTTGTGGTGGTTCTCTAGTAAGTACTAAGTTACGAGTGTTGTGTGTTGTGTGTTGTGTGTTGTGTGTTGTGTGTTATGTTGGTTTGTTGATGTTTGTTTTAGTGTTGTAGTGTTGTGGTGGTTCTCTAGTTTTTGCTGTTATTCTCCTTAGTAGGAGCTCGATTATCCCTCGTGGAATTTGTTTAGTTTTATTTAGTTGTTTGTATTGTGGGTGAGTTAGAGTAGTTTCTAGACACTCGCCGCAGGGTAGTCTCTCTACAGTTAGATGGCTGCTTGGCTTATTCTAGTTATTGTCTAGTTGTATTTATATGTTTGTTTTTATTAAAAATCTATCGTTTCGAAAAAAAAATATTAATTACTAAGTAATAACTTAGCTGCAACTACTACGTTTGTTTTAGACGACAACAACAACAACATACCTAGTATATTCCCAACAGGTTGGGGTCTGGGGCGTCAGTTGCACGCAGACCTTACCCTTGTAATTATACAAGGAGGCTGTTTCCGTAGCGACCCAAGGTTCATTGCGCCGTTTGATATATTTTTTTTTTCTAGAAACTTCACTAATAGAAGAAGCACTAGAATTTAATTGAGTCATTTTGATCTAGTCCATTATTAGCACTATGTCAGGAGAATTGTCAACAATGACTCGTCCAGCTCCATTTGCAATGGACAAAACTATAAAGCACGGGTCAGCTACTAGATTTAGCCAATTGGGAGCTTTTGATATTCAGTGGAACAAGAATAAGTAATCTCTTATATCAAGAAATAAATATATATATTAAAATCAAATTTATATTAGTATAAATGTGCTAGTGAGATAATACATTAATTATTTTACATGCTAGTCTTTCATATTTGATGTTCTGACAA